TACAAGTATATTATCTCGTCGACTTATTTCGATACCATGTGCGCTCGGGTGGGGTTCGTCATCGCAGCACGTGCCTCGTTTACGTATCATTTATTATTACGAGTATTATACCGCTACGTACACATTGAACAGTGAAAGCTGTTGAAATTGATGCGCGCGAAACCCGTAAAGATATTATAATATTATTCTATTTTTTCGGCCAGTTCGGTGTACAGGTACATACTGCCCGCGGTGGTATTTTATTACAATATTTTGCGATCTTCGACAGGTTTAACTTGTACGCTGTTACGAGTACTCGTCCGATCTTATAGGCTAGCTGCTCATAAAGCCAAGTGTGTGCGATTTTAAAAACGTAATAGATTCCTTGTACCTGTGTGGTCTAATAAATTTCAACAACCTTGCGGCGGTGGGTCATCGATTTCGCATGAATTCGCGGCTTTGATCGATCGACTGCCGAACATTCAAGGTCTCCCTCCTCCCATTCACAAAAGTTCGGTAAAATCGACCCTATATTCGTTATTATATCGTTTTGCACTGACCGCCCGCTCGCGGCACACGATGATTGTAACATCGATTTTTGGCGATATCTAATTTTTCATTTCGTGCATAAATTATGCATAAAAAGAGAGAGAAAGAGATTCTACCGTCATGTAAAATAAACCACGTCTTATAATTGCGTTCTCGCGAAACTCTAACAAAACAGCGCAATTTCATCGCACTACACATATTATGCATGTGTACAGAAATATGCGTGTGTATTCGAGGTCAAAAAAATGAATTCTTCGACCGACTAAAATTTATTGCATTCATTATAAAAGAAAACGAAAAGCTCCCATGTGTATTCATCGTCTGAATCGTGTATTGCAATTTTTTCTCTCTTGGAACAGAGACAAGTTTTTTCTTTTTTTTTTTCCTTGTTGTCATTCACTGATACAGCAAGAACACGCAATTAATAATCATGTCACAAATTTCGTCTTGTACTTTGTTTCATAAAGCAAATGTAAGTAGGTATTTCTAGTATTTATATATATATTAAAAAATCCTGTTAATCCAATAACATGCCCCGTAATAAATGTAAACTTATATTTAAGTGAATAAAATGTCATTTGGCAGTATAATATAGGCGTCCAACGAAATTAATTTTAAAATAACAAGGGTTATATAACCGAAAATAATATATTTATTTTTACACGCGTTTAATGTTCTGTGATCCCGATGAAATTAATTTATCTGGTACGTAATATTGCTTTGAAATTAATTGCGAAAAATTGAAATGTCGGTTTCAATCTACTGGATTAAGTCACATTGCACCAGCGTACTTTGTATTGTCGACTCATTGTGTTGTCGGAAAAAGGAGATGTAAGTATGAATTTATATACTTGGTTGTTGTATCCGCCTCACACTAAATATTGGATTTTTTTTAAAAAAAATTATAAATCGCGTAAAACAATTCGTACACGAATACAATTCGTCTGACGATCAAACTTACAATAAATAACATTCCATTGTTGTATAATACGAAGGTGCTATATAAGTTCTGGGTGTAGGAAGAAGGTCGGTAACCCGCCAACATTTTTTTTGTTTCTCGCGATTTCCATGAGCGTAAACTGGACCGCAGCCGCGCAAATAGAAACGCGGTCTAAATAATAATAACAATAGTCGTAGTAGTAATTATTCGCATTTCGGTTTTTAACACATAAATCTATCTCCTCGTACGGCGAGTCGAATACACCGTCCGAGTGCTGTCTCGAAGAAATTCTCGCGAGTTGCGACCGCCATACGTATTACAATATCCGACGCGAGAGGGTAAACGCGATTACGTGCGCATACATACATATTCGTATATACATATAAGTGCGATGTCGTTCAGACGACATTGCTGGTGCAGTGATCGTTGCACTCGCCGCACACCACTGCTTCATATAGAATAGCGGTCTGTTTTTGTACCGTAAGGAGAATATTTTATTTTTTTTTTATTTTATTCCGTTGTGCGCATGCACCGACCTCGATCCGAAGAAATAATTGTAATCCACGCGCGTTCAAACGGCGAAAGTAAAAAATAAAAAATAAAACACTATGATAATAGTCGTGTCACTAACAGCCGTTGTGTAAATCGCGAAACGCGCGCAGGCGACACGTACCCGCGCGATTTCGCACTCGTGCAGCAGCAGCGTTGCATCGCAGTCGAGACGCGCCCCCGAAAAAAGCGGTTTTGTCCTCGATTCGACGTGCGTATTATTATCGTTCGTTAAACGTTTGATCTCGTACGTGGTGTTGCGTGTCACATGGAACCAGCGGCGGCTCCAGAGTCTTATTTATGGGGGGGGGGGGGGGAAGTTATAATTTTACAAAATCTTATAACAAAAAAAAAAAAAAAACAACAATTTTTACATTACAAATTCAAGTCGTCTATTTTTAAAATTGGCAAAAATATCAATAATATGATATATTTGATCTAGAATATCTACTTTATGATATACATTAATTAGATTTAATGTTGATAGTCTATCTTCAGTAATCCTAGAATGAAGCTAGGTTTTAAGTCTCCGAAGTGTGAAGAAACTTCTTTCGACCGTCATACCATTATGGCTCTATCTACATACGTGTCGTATGATAGTCCATATTATAATATGCATTTTTTGTTAACAATATACATTTTTTTATAAATACGGTACGGTCTTGGGGGGACGCAGCCCCTATCCCTCCTCTCTGGAGCCGCCCCTGTGCGGAACTGGTGCGATCCCACGTCTCGCGGCTCTTTTCGCACAGCAATGAACAATATAACGGTGGTAAGTCGCGGACAGGAGCGATCGCTCCCTATCACTCCTTAAAAAATGGTATTGTAGTAACTGCGAATTAAGATGTACGGTATACACCCCACTTTAATAAACATTATTCAAGTCGCAATCACTTCGAAGAAGGTTAATCCCCCCCCTCCAAATCAAGAGACGAACGATAATTATTGTAATCCGTCGCGCGTTTTCGCTACACTGTACTACTTATTGTTCCCGTGCGTCCTTCTCTCTACGTCACACGACTTAACGGCCTTTGTATAAATATATTACACACATATGCTTGTAGTGGGTGTCGGCTTGGTGTAAATATTTATTGTGACGTAGTGGCGATGACGGTGCACACGCGCTCGCATATGTATACATTCCGTAGTATAGAAAACATGGCTTACGGAAAATTGCGCAACGGAGAAAATAACAATTTTGGCAACCGCCGCCGTGCCTCGTGTAACCATTATAAAAATGTATGTTCATAAAAATTTCGTTTCACCCGAGTAATAATCATAATCTTTTTCTCAGAAACCGTTTATACCTATACGATTATTACGTTGACAACTCGTATTACGTTATGTTATCAACATTTCAAATCGTGTAGCGGCGGGTCCAAGCGTGTTTTTCGTCCTTTGAACGCGAACCGTAGGAACTTCCTGCGCTGTTTTACAAATTTTACGTATTCCGAAAACACCGCCGCAGCAGTTGAAAAAGTTGGAAATAATAATCGCACACTTAAATGTCTGATGCGTAGACTTATGTGCGAGTCCGATAAGCGTATGCAAATACACGTATTACTGCATGGCGCTGCGATCGTTTAAGGATAACGCATGACGATCTCTAAAATTACAACGTTTTTTTACATACCTACTACGCTTTAATTATAAAAACGAATGTCTCCAATTCGTTTCGATCATTATTTTATCATCGCGGTCCACCAGTATATTGCAATGTCGCGCGAAAAACCCTCATTTGGCAGCGAGGTG